AAAACAATAGCACTATGAATTCATGTTATAGTGTGGACGTGGCATAGTTGGACAAGTATAGATGATATCTGACAGTGATTAAAATCACTATCATAAGAAACGCAAATCTGTAGATAATGTTTAATTTTAAAAATTGATAGATTATTTAAAAAGTAAAATGAACTCGTATTTATTTCCTTAGTACACGTTTTATGATTTATAAGTGTAATATGTAAATAAATATTTATTATAGCAATTAAATATAGTATGAAATTGAGATTTAATAATTTAGTATAGTAATTTTTACGTAGAAATTACATGTTTGGTTGACAAATGTGTATAAAAACTGAAATGCTTAAAAAAAAAATTGTTACTTATTAATAAATTTATTGATCTACAAGGAATTTTCATCACAGACCAATTTTAGTATATGGACTAAATAATAAAATCAACTTAAACAGATCAAAAAAATTAGTTAAAAATGTTATTTTAAATTGAAATTTTGCACGGATTATTTTTAACATATTAAAAATCAATAATAACTTGATTTAAAATGTAAAAACATTCAATTAATGTTTACATGTGATTCTAATTAGTAATAATCTCAAAAATGAGGCGGCAGAAAAAATTTAATTTCAAACTTGAAATCAGCAAAAAATTTCGGTTTAGTAAAGTATATATTGGTCTATAATCATTAAAAAATATTTTATTTTCTGATATGAATTTACTGTGTAATTCAGTATAAAAACAAATTTTATACTCCTATTAATTTAGAGATATTTAATTTAAAAAAGTTTTTTACAATATATTTTGAGATATTTGTCTGAATTTCTAAAATAAATGATTTTTTTCCAATATTTGGTGATTATAAGTTCGACATGATTAATAATCGTGTTATTTAACGTAATGCTCAAGTGAGAGCAGAGAAAAATTAACGATAGACACAAAATAAAATATTTTAATATGAATAAGAAATTTTTTGTCACAAGGGCAGACTACAGTGTTCATGTTTTTTTTTTTTAATTTCCCGTTTCGCTGCGCTACAGTGTCTACGGGGCTACGAAATGTCGATAGCCTGGTAAGGCAACCACCTAGGTGAAGGCAACACTGAAAACATATCCTCTGGCGACACATAAAACACTGGGAAGGCCACCCGTAAAAACCAACCATGAAAATCACCATTTTAAAAATACAGTTATCGTTCCAGGAGTTTCGGAGACTCCAAGGCCGGCTGGGAAGAGTGTAATTGCAGGCTCGACCCGATCGTTATCCAGCGACTGCATCGAAACCGTTGGACTGTTGAGGCAGGGTCCAGGGGGCGTTCACCTTCAGCGAGATCCTGTCTCGGCACAAGAGTAATTCTACTCTAGCAGCTGCAGGCATGGGTCTAAGGAACTCAGTCGAGGCATATGATTATGCTAGCTGGCTAGCAAAGAACGCCAGGAAGTCGGCAAACACGCTCGGATCTACTCCCGAGCCGGTCATTGTGGCCGACGATCCCGAAGACGAATGTCTTCGAGGAAAAAGGAAGGAGGCATCTCCAACGGCGCACCGAACGGGCGGGATCGTCTTGGAGGAAACTCCTCCAGATGCACCAATCTCTTAAATTGATACTCTTGGAAAGGCTCCCGAGATTAAGCGGAGGAAGTGCGGGGAGATTGCGGCTGCCGACCTCTTTCACAAGGACGGCACGCCGCGGTCTAATCTGCTCGAGCTCGAGGTCTGTTCTCACAGACTGTCTTTCCCTGAAGTACAGGCAGGCGTCACGACTCGAGAACACCGTTCTCGTCGTGCCCCCTCACGACCACGTTAGATCGTGCAGACAGCCTGTAGTGGTCCCGACCGGACCGGTGCGTGCTTCTCGCGTAAGACAGAGGGCCACCGGGCTAGGGACTGCCCCAGAAAAGTGGGAGGACCGGAGAAGTCCTGTCCTCTTTGTGTTTGTGTTAATTTTGTGTTCTCGTGATTTATGTGCCAACCCACAGCGAAGTCCTACTCCCACCTACACTTGATGCGACTTGGGCAACGGATCCTACTCTGGTATCCGGCTAATGGAGGAGACCACGCCGTGTTGTGACTCAGCTCTCGATTAACTTCAGGCTGAGTCACATCACGGCAGTGTGAGTTTTAATGCGACGTTGGGCGCCCTGAAGCAATACCTTACAGTAGTTCCAGGGCGTCCAACATTAAGTCGACCGTGAAAAAAAAAAAAAAAGACTACAGTGATCCTTGATATTTATTGAACTTATTCAATTTAAATGAGATAAAAATTAAATGAACTCTGAATTTTTTTTTCACCTCAAAAAAGAATTAAGAAAAAATGCAATTTAGAACGAGCATGGTTCGAACTTTGTACCTTAAGCGTATAGAATAGAATTATATTCAACGCAACTGCCGTGAATTATATAAATGTCAACTATAAATAATTATATAAGCTTGTTCAAAAATTCAAAGCAGCTTTTCTTAACTTTGAATAGGCAAAATAAAAATAAAAATAATTATAAATTTATATTTAATGCAAGTAAGATTCATGTAAATTTTATAAAATTTAGTTGAATCAATACTATGGTAAACCCTTATAAAGTATTTTAAAGTAAATAAAAAATAACATAAAATTTGAACACAAAAATAGCATGTTTTTTAACTATCATTTGTATATAGAAGATAAGTCGTCAGGACAAATTTTTAATTTAATTTATAGTTTGTAACATAAGCTTTAATTTAACATTTGTTTTATGGACGCAGTATTTCAGTAACATTTTCAAAACTTAAGTTGAAAAAGTTGAGTTTGCCCCCTATGAGCAGGTAAAGGGTCAGATTTTTAAAAAAATTATATCAAATAAAATGAAAATACCTAAGATTTCAAAGGAAAAAAACTATTTAATTTCATTTATTTTTTAATAAGTTATAGCAAAACAAAAGAAAAAAAGTAAAAAATATGACATTTACTGTTTTTAAAAATCGTAATTTTTTGAGGACATCCACAGTTTACGGGGAATGAAGGAAAATTTTTCAATTTTTTATGGGTAATGTTTTCAACTAGATACGATTTGTGATCTTTTGAAGTATGGTTGAAAGAAATTGGTTAGTATAGTATAGTTGAGAAAAATTGATCCAATGAGAGTTGAGAAATAGTAGTGACAGACAAAAAAAAAAAAATAAACACATTATGATAAAATTAATACCTACTCAGTTTTGCATCAAAGCTAAAAATTTAGTTATTTATGTTTAAATAACTTTTAGACATTAACCTTGCTGACGACATACTTTATTTGAAATGCATATCATTAACCAAAATATTAGGGAAGAATTAATTATATATCAATATTTTTTTTCACCGTTCTACAAAAAAGTAGTAACTATCTTATTTTTACAGTTTTTCAGAATGTTCGAATGATTTGATCATAACATTGACATATTATACATTGTTGAATGCATTGAGAAAGGACAATCCAAAAAAATATTTTTTTTTCCAACATTTTTATAGAATATCTACTCCAATTTTGTTTTTTAGATTGTTTAATTTATTAACAACCCGTAAAAGTAATTGCAGACAGATTATTTTGGGTGCTTAGTAATAATAATATTTACTTAAGCTAAATAACATACAAAAAAAAATGTTTTTTCTATTGTTGGATTCTCTTTCCAAGTTAAATTCAATTATGTTGTTATTAGAAAATTAGAGGAAATTACATTTTTTTTGTATACCTATGTAACATCCTAAGTATTTTACTTCTTTAGACTTTTATCATATTATATTAATATACTGTAGTTTAAAATGAAAAAAGAAAATCTATATTGACATGAGGTTCACTAAAGCAAAAAATCAAACAACTTTTGCAAAAAATAACTGATTTTTTAGTTTTTTGCATAATAACAGAATACCAAAATATTTCTAAATTATATGTTTACTTAATGAATTATATGATTAATAAAGAAAAACATTCCAACAACATGTCATCTATGATAAATCAGTCTATTAATTATAAAATTATGTAATATTTGGTGAATAATTAATATAATTAAAATTTTTTTTTAAATTTGCATTATAACGTTTGCTGAAGTACTTTAAAACACTGTTAGGTATCTATCAATAATGATTTAAAAAATGTCTTAAATAAACTTAAACACACTAATTGCCTTCTAAGCTTAACTTGCTTTTCATTTTAAAAATAGATAAAAAACATACTACTTTGTTAGATTCTAATTTTGCTTTGGTAGCTAACTCCACTTGTGTTTCTAGTATTTGTGATACAAGTTGACTTTTATCATTGTCCTATCAAATAAAATATTTAAATAAATATATTTTGTTTACGTGAAATTGAATTTCAATAACTTTACTTGAGCCTCAATTGTATTTAGTTTGCTTGCATTATCAACAACTTCAATAGAAACAATATTATCATCAATATCATTTAAGTCGTCATTTTTTGAAAAAAAATTGTCAGAATACTTAGGAAGTCTTTAAGATATAATTGTGAAATACTCAATTAATTCAATTTTTTTAAATTACACATTATGGTTTTACTCACTCAGGAAGAGAACTCAATTGTATTCGTCTATTAGGGGCTGGAGGTCTTGAACTTTTAGGCCTTAATGGTTTATTTATACTATTCAATTCATTTAATTTTCGAAGTTGCTGTTCATCAACTTTGTTCTTTTTAGGTGATTTTTGTTTAACACTCTCATTATTAGATTCATTTTTTAAAAGAATTTTATTAGAATTGTTTTCCCTAAAATACATTGAATTTTAATCAAAAATTTATATTATGTATACTTAAATTTGAATAAAGAACTCTAATCATAATAAATTTAATGTCATAAAACCGAAACCAAAAATTAATATCTTAGTAAAAAAATACTACACTTAAAATTATATCTTAAATAGTAATTATTATATAAGCAGTAAGTTTCCAAGTTCAAAATGTAAATCAGAACAACTAGTGTATGTTATTAAAGTATTATACATTGTAAATTATAATATATTATGTTCAGTAAGTATGAAAACATATTTCTATTGTTTTCGTTTATAAAATTGACCTGTTTCCTTACTTACTGAAAATAGTTTTTTACTATAGAGATATATTTTGAAACTTAAGGAAATTTATTATATATATTTACTATATAATTTATTGTCTCCTAGTAATAGAATCACTTTATTATTATGGGTAACATTAATATAACACATTGCATTAGTTGAATAGTGGTATCTTACTCTTTGTCACCATTCAATTTTTTTTCATTTACTTCAATACCAACTTTTTCATTAACTTGTTCAACAAAATTACTTAAAGATTCATCAAGTTTTGTCAAGACTTGGCCAACAGTTGGTTCACTTTTATTGGATGTATATTCAGCAGTTTCTTGAGATTTTATTTCAATTGATTCATCTTTATCCAATGATTTGTTTTTATTTATGTTTTGAATATTATTTCTAACTGATTCCTTTTTTTTTGTCTTAAAATTTGTCTTTTGAGAATTTTTATTCTATAAAAATATAGAAATTTTTAATTATCAAAAATAAATCACTAGAATTATAACAATATGAATAATTTGTAAATGAGAATGAGAAAATTTATTAAAATGATTTTTAAAAACATTAATGAGATAAAAATAAAAACAAAACTAAAAATTTTTCAAGTAAAACTATCTAATAAAAAATTTAATTGTATTATATTATAAAATAGTTGAAATTACATAATTTTTAGTTTCAACTTAACTTTTCTTACTCAGAGAAAAGTAATTATGTTCATATTATTCAAAATATGACTTTTGACAATAACATTTAAGTATGAAAACTATTGTTATTAAATAGGTCAATTAGGGTAACAATGAAAAATAAAATTTTTACTTTGAAATTTGTATATTATTTATATTTCATTACACCTCATCATATTATAATAATTGATCAAAGTCTACATTACTTACTTCAGTCATAATATTAATTATAAAAACAAGAAAATTATTAAAAAGTCTATTTCTTTTATAGTGCATCTACTTTAAATATACTTCAAATAAACATTTTATAAAATATTTAAATTATACATAGAGATAAAATAACAGTTGTCGTAACACAGGAAAGAGTAAAACAATGGTGTAAGGTGTGAATGTGTAACTGTGTGTACGAAGATGAATATGAGGAGGTGGTGCCTGCTGTCTAGGTATTCACGTGCGTGTTGTCGTACAGCAGTCACCGTGCTCGGCTGACACTCCGGGTTAGCTGTGGGTGTCGAAAGGCTGTTGTTATAGGAAGGGAGAATAAGAGTAACACCTAGGTATGAGGTGCAGACGAAGTGCAAGACACAAATACCAGGTGTACGCAAAAGGAGCCCAAAGTATGAGGTGCAGACGAAGTGCAAGACACAAGTACTTTAAAGAGAGAACGGGGTAGCCGAGTATAAGGTGCAGACGAAGTGCAAGACACAAATACTGGGCGTACCAGATAAGGAGTATAACAAAGTACGAGGTGCAGACGAAGTGCAAGACACAAGTACTTTAGTTATTAGGAGAGGATAATGAAGTACGAGGTGCAGACGAAGTGCAAGACACAAGTACTTCAAAGAGAGAACGGGGTAGCCGAGTATAAGGTGCAGACGAAGTGCAAGACACAAATACTGGGCGTACCAGATAAGGAGTATAACAAAGTACGAGGTGCAGACGAAGTGCAAGACACAAGTACTTTAGTTATTAGGAGAGGATAATGAAGTACGAGGTGCAGACGAAGTGCAAGACACAAGTACTTCAGAGAGAGAACGGGGTAGCCGAGTATAAGGTGCAGACGAAGTGCAAGACACAAATACTAGGCGTACCAGGTGAGGAAAGATAACAGAGTACGAGGTGCAGACGAAGTGCAAGACACAAGTACTCTGAAATGTCGAGGAAAAGAGTATATAGGTTAGAAAAGGAATAAACAAAGACTTTACTTTAAACAGTAAGCCGGACAGCGACAACCGAGTACTGAGACTGATGAATGACACAAGGCACTGGAGTCGACTGACCACGATGGTCAGGTCTATTGGGTTTTTATAATAATTACACTTATTGCCGATTTGGCAATAAATATTATTTGTTAATTCATCAGTCTCAGGCAGCGGATGTGCTGTCTGTATTTTATTAAAATAATTCTCACGATTATGAAAATGTGACACCATCACACAGTATAATGGTGGTATTTATTTAAATGAAAACTTTTATTTGAAATAAGATATTATAATGACTACATTTTTATAATAAAGTTTTAAAACCTTTAAAAGTAAAAAAATTAAGAAAAATTTCTTAGCAAGTGCAAAAATAATTGATAATAATTTAAATCATGTAGTCAAATTTAAGTACATAGTAATTTCATTAATTAGTTTCTTGTTAAGCAAAAAACTTGAAAGCTAGAAGATTACCCAGAAAATCTTTAATTACATTTAACATAAATAATTGATTTTGTTATAATTAATAAACAATTGTTATTTACATAATTTCCTCTATAATTTAAACAGAATTTTTTTTTTAATTTTCATTCGAGAAAATCAGATTTTATATTAAATATCGTGGTTTCAAGTAAGTGCTATAGCAAAAAAAAAAAAGAAATTGTATTTATAACACTAGTCCAACTTATAAACCGAAACATTTTCTTTAAGATGTAAAAAAAAAATGAGAAACAAATTCTTAAAAATTCCAGATTTTTTGAAGAGGCAATACCCCATACCCATTGGACTAAAGTGGAACGATCTCCATCTAAATTTATGAAATAACCTAATTTATTTACTAAAAATGGTATTTTAAAAGAATTACAAACTAGCCAAAAAAGATGACAAAAAACATTATGTTGTATTTTAATTAAAAAATTGTCTAATCTTCCATCTAGAGAATAATTTTTTTTATGCACATATTACAGCACTAATTATGTCTTAATCAGGTTATAATATAAAGTGCATTGGAGAAAACTTTTTGCTTAATTAAGAAAAAAGTTTGCACATCTGAAAATTACTTAAATATAAACAAAAGCTATCAAAATACCTTTTGAAAATATTATTATGGATACATCTTACCGAATTAAATTAATTTGGGTTTTTTCACTGAGTGTTTCCACCAAAGTGTAGTTACTATTATTTGTATAAACTATCTCTATATGAATACTAACTAGGGTGGTCCTTAAAATACAAATTTTCAAAATTTGATTTATGCGCACCAAAAAATTGTTCTAATACATGTAAAAATAAGCTGTGCAAAATTTGGTGTCAATAGGTTGATGTTAACACGTGCCACAAGAGGGTTGAAAATCCGATCAAAAGGGTAGTTTTTCAGTTTTGTGTTTTATCTTAAAATGTATGATTTTTACGTAAAAATTTATAAGAAAGAAATTATACATTTAATTATTTTACATAAAAAAGTTCATTAGCAAAAAACTCATTAATCAATTATTTATCCCCTAAAAGTCAAAAATTCCATAAATGTTATGTTTACCAGTAAAATTCATGTATTTCGACAATTTAAATATATAAGATGATCCGTTCAAGTAATAAAACAAATTTTCATGTAAAACTTGTTTAAAATTTAATTTTCTATAATTTTTGTAGAAAAAAAAATTGTTTTCCTTGTTTTCTGGCTAGGTAATTAAGAAAACTTATAAATAACAATTATTTTTCTATGATAAATAAACAAATAAATGATATATTAAAAAAATTAGCGATTTTTTTTTCAAACTCAAATAAATTAAGCAAACAAATACTAAAAAAAATGTGAAAAATGATCTTAAAGTTCATATAAAATTATAAAATTAAAAATAATTTTTCTAGTAAACACCATATAAAAAAAAAAAAATTGTTTTTGATTGGATTATTGATTGTTATCCATCAATGTAGTTTAGAACAATCACCATATTGTGATCTATAATCATTAATAACTTGTAGTAGAAAATCTTTTTGTTCTTCATTATGAGTTAATATTTCATTGTAATCTTGCATAAGTTTTACACCTTTCTCTGCTATATCGTTTGTCACAAGAAGATTAGATAAAACTTTCAAACCATTTTGAAAATCAGAATTTTCAACACAGCTATGAGGATGAGTTTACAAAAAATCTATTGCTATATTAAGCCTTTTAAACAAATTCAACGATTCTGCCGATACAAAGTCATTAAGTTCTTTTTTTAAAAATAGTTTAGTATCATTTAGGTTTATTGTAATTTTTTTTTTTGATGTCTCTCTTGATGCCTCAACCATTTATAGTTTAATATCTGCCAGTACTCTGTAATCAAAAAATGCTAAAGCTACATTTTCAGGTGACAAATACCATAAATGCCCTGAAAATTTTAGTGTTGTAACTTTAGATATAAAAGAATCAGGATAATTAATTAAAACTTTTAAGAAACATTAATCATTAAATGATGATTGTATGGCAATAGATTCCTTAAACCAACCCTCGGCATGACTTTTTACCAAAAATACACAAATATCACCAAATGCATGTTTTTCTCGTATTTTAAGCTTGAACTCTTTTCTGAACATGTATATTTTTAGCAAATAAATTGGTTTAGACATCAATCTAGCGTGATGAAAAGCACCAAGGTAGTAAAATTTTACACCAATAAGGGGTGTTGCACCCACAAAAATAACACATAACTCGAGAAATTCTTTGTAGTCATTTCTACATTGTTGATTCATTAATGTTTCCAAATAAAATTTTATTACATTATTTTTAGTGCGTTCAACTGTATTTTTCATAATTATATCATTGATACCAATATCAAAATTCAGCAAATCTAGAAAAGTCCAACTTTCTTTAAATTTTTTAAAAATTGGTACATCTGAATCAGTTGTACATAAACTAAATTTAACCTTGAAAACATTTTTTAGTACTAATTCCAAAATATGTCTACGACATGGTAAATACAACATATTATGCTCTAGTTGTTCAAGCAATATACATGCATCATTTAAGCGACCTTAATTAGAAGCTGTTGTGTCACAACACAAGGCCTGTATTTTATCTTTTACATCTCTAACTTGTAATAAATCAAAAATTTGATTTGCCCGATTCTCGCCAGAACCACTCTTAATTTTTGGGATTTCAAGTAATTGACTTACTCCCTATTTTTTTTAAACAACTTTTACATGCAATTTTTTTTTATAAAATGAACGGTTCATCGTAATATTTAAATTGCCGAAATATATGAATTTTAATGGTAAACATAATATTTATGGAACTTTTGACTTTTTGTGAATAAATAATTGATTAACGAGTTTTTTGCTAATGAACTTTTTTATGTAAAATAATTAAATGTATAATTTCTTTCTTATAAATTTTTACGTAAAAATCATACATTTTGAGATAAAATACAATAACTGAAAAATTATCCTTTTGATTGAATTTTTAACCCTCTTGCGGCACGTGCTAATCTATTAGAACTAAATTTTGCACAGCTTATTTTTACATGTATTAGAACAATTTTTTGGTGCGCATAAATCGAATTTTGAAAATGGGTATTTTAAGGACCATCCTAATATATACAGAGTGATTCTTTAAACACTATCCACTCAATTCTCTTAAAATATTAATTTTTTTTTTGGATTTTTTTAGTTGCATGTGTATCTCCAATTATCTTTTAAAAAATATATTTTACGTTTATTACTTATATTTTATAGGGTGGTTAACCCTATTTTTTTAAATGACTACATACATATATTTAAATAGCTTATTTAATAGAAGAAAATGATAACAACAGTGGCGTAGATACGATTATTTTTTGGGAGGGGGGGTTTATTTAATATTAAATTTTTTGGAGGAAAGACAAGGGAGATTCTATTTTTATTATTAGACATTCCTCAGTATCATTTATCCTCACGTCTAGGTAAAAAAATGTTAATACCTTCTGAAATACTGGTTTAAATGTTGATATACCAAATTATTTTTTTAATAACATTGTTTACTCAGAACCAAACATTCAAATGGAAAACCAAATTACTATGATTCAATAAGAGGTGCACACAATAAATCTCCAAGATTAAGTGCATGTGAAATTTTTGTCCACCTCTCTAACAACTAAAACTAAAAAACTCAAGAAAGTAATATATCAAAAGATTACATTAGCATCAATTCCATTAACAATGGTTATTAATAGTTCTAATGTTTTTGTAACTTCAAGACCTGCAACAATCTTGGAAGGTTTTGCTAAAATTTGCTTACCAGTAGTTAATTCTGTAAATAATAATTATTAAAAATATATGTTAAATTTTTTCATTTGGACTTATTTATTTTATTTAATATCAACTTACGAACATTTATGATGAGTTTTTCCAAGAATTTTACTTTTTTATCTTTTGTAACTACATTTTGAGATTTTAATTCATCATCACTGAAAATTCCTGATAAATACCCAGTATTATGAATTATCTGCAAGTTTGAAAAATTAAAAGAAATAAATATATTAGTATAATATTATTATACATTTAGTTTGAAAAAATATTATAATTTAAAATTAATTTTAATCATTTATCTCAGAAAAATTATTATTCTACAAGATAAAATAATTATTTTAATATTCTTGGATTGACTTTTTTAAACTATATACTATATTTTAGAATAAATAAAAATTTAAATAATTTTTTTTACTTTCATTAAGTGATATGCCATTAGGAATAATTCCCGAGAACAGGATTTATTCCTCTACCCCAAGCAAATTTTTCTCTAAAAAAACCACAAATTTTATGTGAATGATGTATGACTGTAACAATTTGAAAACCTTAGTTTTCATAATTATTAACACTTAAATAAAAGTACGGGAATTAAATCTAAGGTTTGATTACTTTTATATTTTTTTTTGTTTCTTAACATTCCTACTTTTCTGACCTTGTTAATAATATCTTACTAATATCTGCTGATATACAAAAGTGAAACAACTGGCTAAAAAAACTGAAGTATATATTATTTCAAGGGAGAAGATTATCAACTTTTAAAATGAAAAAATTACATTATATTTTAAACTTTTAAAAATATTGTGGGAATCATAGTTCAACAATCTGTTTTGTACATCTGTGGTAAAAATGCAAAAACTGACAAATAACAATAATAAATTTTTTTAATTTTTCATAACTAATATAACCAAGTATGTTTTTTTATCTTGTACCAAAAAAGTGACAAATCAAATTTATCAAGAAGGCTTGTTTGTTTATTTCAGAAATGGTAATTTCCATAAGGAAATTTTTTAATTTGTTTTTCTTGCCTTAACAATTTATAAAAAAGAAATATACTTATATATATTTATATATATATATATGTATTTTAAAGTAATCAAAACAAAGTATTTAACAAAGAGATTGAATAGAAGTAGAATTGTATAAAAACGAATACATTCACATTAAAAATTTAAATAATTTATAAAAGTGAGTTATATATTCTTGAGTTTAAATAAAATGTAAAAATAGGATATTTTTAAGTTTGGAAATCCTCCAGGGAAGTTTCCTTATGAAATTACCATCATTAATTTTTGAGAATTGCACATAACACATTTACTTACCTATAATTTTAAATTTAAGATAATAAATGTAATTTTTGTATTTCTAAAAAGATAAATATTTCAGAAAATGTATCAATACTTTTTAAATATTCATAGAGAAATATATGCAATAAATATTTATTATTTTGAAAATAAACACAAATATAGTTATTAGAATACTAGAAAAATTTATATACAGTAATAATATAGTAATACTATTACTAATAGTTATGATGAATTTAGTTAGATAAAATCAAATTCTAATAGAATAATTAATTAAATTTTTTTTTGGTTTAACTTACATTAGTTATTATATCATGTAGAAATTTGAATGGTGGTTTATTAAGTAACTTATTTGTTAATTGAGGTTTTCTAATGTACTTGCTGAGAGACAATTTTACAAGGTTCACAAGTTCTTCATTAGTAGGATCGGTCATTTCTATTTTAGTTTATTTATTAATTCATAAATCAATAATTTTATTAAGTTTCAATGATTTAAATTAATTGTATAGTTTAAAACAAAAACTTATTTGTTGAGGTTAAAACTATTAATCCATTAAAGTTAAATGGATAATAAGAAAGGCACAAACTAAGATTTTAGTTTGTGGTTAAAGGTAAGAAGTAATCAATATTTCATTACAAAGCATAGATATCAATAGACTATATTTCAATGTTATGGAGCTGTAACCAAGGAGACAGTTTTTATATAATGTCTTTATTGAATTAAATTTATAATATAATAATAATTATTTGATGTTGTAAACAGAGTTATCCTTTAATAATTCAATTATTTTGTTTTAAAATGAGGAGACAACTGATTATTGTATTGAAATTTTCAACTGTGATTTGATTATATTTACCCTTTAAATTGAAATATTCATTTAAACATTTTTATGTAACTTTTTCTTTTGTCTTCGGCGTTTTTTTTTTAAACTAAAATTACATACTTCAATTTTTTTTTGAAGTGAATCAGGATATAAAGAACAATTAGAATTGCAGTTCATCTTATCATTACATTTTTGTTGATCAGTTGTTAATTTTATATTTTTTTGTACTTGTTCTTGTACATTTTTCAAATTTTGATGTATGGTGCTTTGGGATTCATGTCCCATAGGTTCATGCTGTTTTAATTTACTAATAAAATGTTGTAAAGAGTATAATTGATTTTTTTCAATATGTAAATGAGTAATTGCTATTTCATTACTGTTTACTAGTCTTTTATCTATTGCATATTTTAAATGCTTCTGTTTCATTTTAGAAATTACAGCATCTATATTTCCTGATTTAAAGATATTTTCATAGTAAACATAACTTTTTCCAATAATACTATAAAATAATAAGGATACCTTTTAATTGTGAAAAATTACTGTATATTCATTATATTAAATCAATGTACCTTCGATTGTAAGCCAATTCATCAGTCATAGTGAAGTAATATAATGTTGAAAATACTTAGATAATTTAATAACTCTATTTTTCTTATACAAAATATTGAAGATGAGAATTTTGTAATAATATAAGGACACGCTCTGTAAAATCAAATTGAATAATTTTAGGAGACGTTAGATTTGATAAGTGTGCGGTGCTTGATTAAGATAAAATCGTCCATTATTTTTTATCAGTTGATAACCCTTCTGTTTCTGAAACTGGATTTTCCGTGTTATCTAACTACCTAAGTCTTTTTCATAGAGATCCTATAGGTGTGATTATTTTTTGAACATTTGAGATGCTTTTTACCGTTTTTTTCTAATAACAACTACTGATGGTAGAAAATTTTGTGTCCGTTTAATATAAATTATAACCGAATACCAATGTAATAAATAACATTATATTTTAATATAAAGAACAAATATTACTGCGTTTATTGAATAACTATTTTTGACGCTGTAGTGGCAAAGTTTTTAACATTCTTTTTTTGTTATGCTATTGTTTACATTGACGTAGTTTGCATTGTTACTAAACAAAGGTAATCATTATGTAATTAATTAATTTTAGTTTTTAATTTAGGCCATAGTTACAAATTAAAAAAAAATTATATATCCAAAATTAGTTTATATTTCTTTAAAATGTTAATATAGATATAGTAATTTGATGTTCACTGACATTCCGGATAAATTTTAAGTGGATTAATACTTTATTTTATCGAATATTTTTATATATTATGTGTAGAGTTTGGGACATGATGCATTTATAAATTTTATTTTAGTTATCCCAAGTACATAAATTATAAATTCAAAGTAATATTTGTTTTTCTTACGCCTAATAAATGTATATTAATTAGGATTTTAGTTTGGAGAGTGAGTGGGATGATCATTTCACCCTAGAAAAAAAATGTTCCTGTGGTACAACAAATTTTATAAATGCTTAAAGTCTTAAACTCTAATTATGAGTTATTTTAAAATTAGAGGTATATGAATATTTCTATACTTTAAAATTATCAGTAACTATTAAGTGCATAGTGCGGCGTAGTATACTTTTAAAATACTGCCAAGCTCTAAATTTAAGCTTTGTTCGCTGCTGTTGGGCAACTACATTACAATTTAAATGATGATAAACACTATGTCTGTAAATATACAAGGCTATCAAAAAACCACTAAATAATAATTTCTCAGGATACATTAGTCCAATCTTCAAAATTGACTTGTTTAAACCTACCTAATAGTTTAAAAAAAGGAATTATTAAATAATAAATTGAATATTCATTGATAGCTAAAATATTCTTTTAATTACACTAAATAATTGTTTATATATTCATAAATAAATTTTAAACTAGAAAAAATAAGAACATAAATTATTAGTCAAATAGTATTGAGTTTTTTTTTATTTGTAAAATTAACATTTTATTTAACATTATAATAGTAAATTATTTAAAGTAAAACATCTATAATAATAGTTTTATTTTATGAAAACTGTTAAGAAAAACACTTTTTGATAACTTATTACTAAATTAAATGTGTGATTGTCAAATAAAATAATTGTTTAATAAGAATTAATCACTTGTGGCTAATATTATTTAAAATTAAATGTATATTTTTAATTTTAAATAATTGTTCTTGGCCCATTTTGTACAGTGCACATTTTTATAGTATATTTAGTTAATAAAATTACACTTAATTGATATAATAATTTTTTTAGATTATTTCTAAAATTCTTAAACTGTCATTGACAATATAATGAAATTTTAGCATAAGTTAACATGTATATATGATATTTGTTTTTTTAATGTTGCGAAATAATTGACGGTTACAGTTTATTCCTAGTTTTGTTTCTTAAATAATATTAAAGTTACAGTGTTCTGTAATTATTGTTGTTACACAAGATAGCATGTTAAACATACTCTTTTGTTTTTAACTTAAAGTAAGTTTTACATATTTTTTGATTAGTAAATTCAGTGACCTTTAAAATTAGGTTATTGTATAATCAAAATATTTGGTTATTGAGTTAGAATTTTTAGTGAAACGTTAAACATTAAATTTATCTAAAGGTATACATACATTAAGTATAATTTTAAAGCAAAGTTTTTCTATATAATTCTCATTTAAAATTTTTTTTTTTATTTCATAATTGTTGATTGAATCAATGAAAAAATGTTTCCATTATGTATGCTTCGTTAAAATTGTTCTTATTTGTTTCATTTATAATTATTAATTTAACTTTTTTCATGTTTATTCTTTATATTTATATATTTACTTTGAATGATTAGTTTCTTCCAATGGCAATATCATAGTAGTTATGACGTCTCTATTTCAAAATAGATTTACAAAATGTTTTGATCATGTTTGGATTTATATAGCCTACTATATTGATTATTTAAAAGGAATACCTTTACTTCAGATTTGTAATTTGAGGGAAATAAGATTAAGCAATTCTTCATTAACTTTTGATGTTCATTAATTTCTTAAATTTATAACTCTATTTTATATGATATAGATTTATTCGAGAGTTAAGTAATTAATATATAATTATATTATATTATCATTTTGATTAAATTTAGTTAACTAATGCAAACAATTTTTTATATCTTATATCTAGTTTCTACAGTTGTAAAGTTGTAAATAAAAATACTTTTAAATGAGTTTTAAGTCATTCAGTAGACAATCATAAGTATTCCAGTTTTTTAGAAAACTCGATTCATACATTTTAATTTTTAGTGTTGACATTTATAGACAGTAATTGCCTGTTTTTAAGATCAAAATGTGATTAGAAAATGCTATATGAGTATATATTGTTATAGATATTTATTTGCTATATTTTGTTGAATTGCAATATATTTGTTAATTTCATAAACCATTGGTCACAAAAAACTTTTTAAATATTAAAACTATAAAATGTTTATCAGTTTATTAGACTCTTTAATAAAATATTTCTGAATGCACAAAACTTAGCATAATCATTTTATGAAATTGAACAAAAATGTGTATAAACATATAATTTTCTACTAAATGTATGATACTTGTGAAGTGATAATTGGTTCAATTAAATGTTAAGTATAAGCTTTATAATGTTATATTTAGATTACATTTAGTTTGATTTTTTTCATGGACATAGTGTAAGCTTATTCTTTAAGTATGATTTAGAAAATGATGTGTAAGGGAAGTTGTTTGGAAGTATGTCTAGAATTATTGTTAATGTCTCCTTGCAGTAATGTTGTCATCTTAATTATGAAAACGATGCTATTGATACTTGCTGTTTATTCATCGGTTTCCTGGTTATCATAACATTATAACCTAAATATTTCTGTTTATTTAAATTTTATTATAATTTTATCAGGATTTCCAGAACATTTTCAAAATTAATTTGAAAATTTTAACTTTTTATAAAAAAAAAGTTGCTATTTTTGATTCTCCTCTGTGGGTAGATTTTCAAATAATACATACTAAAAATAAAATGTTTTATTTATTTTAAAAATATTATCGTTTTATTTCATACATTTTTTTCAAATTGTATCTCAATTTTAAGCTAAAAAAGTTTAAACGATCATATAATTGCACTTATACTGGCTGTAAACCCAAATTAATATATATATATAAATATATTACAAATAAATTTTTGATAAGTTACTAAATAAAATAATTTTTTTAAAAATTAAATTTACTGTGAATAACTTTATTATTATTAAAGCATTTTTTAAATATTATTATATTTTTAATTATTTTATTAAAAAAGTTAATCAAAAACGAAAAATATTCGTAAATGCAACAATATTTAGTAATAGGTATTAACGAAAAAAAAAAAAATAATAAAATGTTTTCTATCTCTGTTAAATTTGCTATGTTGATTTTTGATTATTCAAGTATCTGTTTAATGTTTCCCCTTTGTGATTTATTATGATTTATACTTAGAAGAATTTGTACAGTTCATATTATTTAAATAATGTGCAAGTTCATTGACATACTTATTATTTTTCTTATCTTTTTATTGAAAGAAAAATCGATTGAAATAATGTACAATACAGTTTTCTTTGAGTTAGCAATTTAAATTAGAATTTTAGAATTAAAATTTTTAAATATTAGGAATTAAATTCCATTTTTACTAATAACTATTGCAAAAATAATCTAATGCTAATTCTTGTATTAAGCAATATTTATACATTTAACAATATTATATGTGTGCCCGTAGGAACATGAGTAAGTTAAGGGTGATCGAATTTCTGTAACTACAAAAGTTATGTTTAAGAAGATAAATATTTTATTTTTTGGTTGGAATAGTGAAAACATTTCTGATGCAATTCATTTCCATAGTATATCTCTGAGAATACCTAATACTAATTTAGATTTTGTTATTTAAGTATAAATTTATAGTTTTGTTTTAGTTAAATAAAATTAAAGAAATAATATTTTCAATAGTTAAAATATTTTATCGTCTCATAATTAATCTTTATTATTCGGATAAATTAATATATTTTATACAAGACAAATAAATCTGTTATGTGTATTCATAGATGCACGCACTTATATTTTGTTGTCAGTGTTACTATTAATGGCTCATGCAGATATACTGCGTGACTAAAAATGAGTAATAATTCTGATAAAATATTTGCATGCTACTTATAAAACTATTACATTAATAAAAAAATTAGACTTTATAACTAAAGAATAACATGTATATACCGTCTCTTATGTGTGTATATACCATGTAATAGTTTTTCAAAATATTTTTCTAAACAAATAAAAATCTTTTTCCTAACAAATATAATATACTTGAAATTTTATTATAACATAGAATACAATGTGGTAAAATACAGAGAATACATAGATTACGAACATAGAAATTAAAGTTATGTTAAACACTAATAGTTTGAAAATCAACTCAAATTATCATAATAAAATATTTCTAATTGTGTTTTTAAAAATAAACTATTTAATGTATAAATAATTGAAGTTTTTAGTATATGATATTTTTATGCAGTGAATTTAGTTAGTAATGCTTGGTGAAAACATTGTAGGCCGATTGTGGTCTTTTGCCAATATACAACGTCTATCGTTATGTGTCCACTACGTTTTAAAACGAAACAAAAGTATTATTACGTAGTATATTAATGCAAATAATTGATTTATTTTGAAGTGCAATTTGATATATAATTTGTTATTCAACACGATATTTCTATTTAATTTAAAACAAAATTGTCGTTTAAAAATCATACGTAACTAATTTGCTGAAACTGCAAATAAAAGAAATACACATTTAGGTGAATATTATAATTAATTCTCCAATTAAATCATATATAGAGTATGGTCTTGTTTAAGAGGTTATAATACTTATAAATTTACCTTTATAAATAAAAAATTATTCTAAAGATATAATTAATGCAATATAAAATATTATTATTCAAATTTTTTAATTCGAGGTAGAATTCGTTTGAAGTGTTTTATTTTACATCAAGTCATCTTATAAAAAAATCTTGTATATCGAAATTTAGAAAAAAATTTTCGAGAATTCGTACTGTATGAATATTTAATAAAATATATTAAAAATATTTTTGGAATGAAAAACATTTAATTTCATTTTGATAGAGGAGTACTCCAATTTTTTTTTGTTGTTTACCAATACAATTAGAGTTCTTCATCTTCTATAATTTCAAAAATTTTAGTTCTGTGGTTTTGTCGAGTAGACAATATCAAAATACATCTTTATTATATATGACTATATTCATACTGCGGAAAACATTATAAGTTATATATTTTCTGACTTTTTTTTTTTCGTATCATTTGTAATTTCAATAAAATTATAGAATTCCGAGTTATATTTGTTGGTACACTGTTAACTTAAGAGGTTTTCTTTGTTAAACATTGTAAATTCCAAATCCTTAAAATAGTTCGACCATGGCCCAAAATAAAAGTGATTATTGTGAAAACACAACACTAATTTTGAATTAATAATAAAAATAATAATAAAATGTTTTCTAGATCAACGAACTTTGAGCAATCAACACAAATGTCACAAATTTTCCCACGCAGAAAAATAGCATGTACTCTTGGCACATTTGCCAAAGTACCCGCGCATCTTTGTTTTTATGTCTTATTATTCGTATCAACAGGCTTAATTTGATTTCAATCGTTCTCGGGTCGTGTTTCGTAAACTTTCTACTATAGAACTTTAATATAAATCCATATAATATAGTGTTAAGTACTATTGAAGAGTTTTGTGTCCGTTTGCATATACTTCCATATACGTCCGTAGCGGTTTATTTATTATTTTCTCAATATTAAATAATAATATTAAGTATTATTGTTCTAACACCGCCGTGACTGCTGATCAGTAGTTGTTATATCGGTAAACCGTTAATAATAGTGTTGTTAAGCTGCTGTTAAGTTACACGCATTTACAAAGAATAAGTGGCGGTAAAATCAGAGCAGCGCGACAGCGTTGTTATTCATAACTTGATTTGTAAACATGGTTAGTGAAATATATTGTTTTCATTAATTTGATAATTACAATATTGCCTGCAAATATTCAGTTAAAAATTGTTTACTACATCTTTTAACATTAATCGTGGTTAGCCAGAAAAACTAGTTTGCTGTGTTGTATGGTTGAATTTTTTTATATAACAAGATCGTATGGAAATTATGACAATTTATGTGAAATCGCGCAGTGACACTTTATATGTTTTGTTTGATTTCGTCAAAACAATATTCGGGCATTCAATCATAACGTGAGAAATAATCAAAAATTATTTATCTTAATAAAATAAGATAATAGTGTTCAGCGCCGATGATTCAAACATAGTTCTCGAAAACGTATATGCGAGTTTTTAGTATTTTTTTTGTGGCTTTTTGCATTAAATACTTTTATAAATTAATATTTTCAATATATTTTTAATTTTAAATAATAGTCTTCATTCGTATAAGTATATGTTAATATAAATACATACACTTGCACATGCTTGGTAAATGTTGTATAACGACACGCGCAATAGCCCTCAAAATATGTTATATTCAACAACTTATTGTATACTTATTTAACACGACTTCTCTTCATATGGAGAGAAACACAACCGGTTGCAAGACAGCGTATTTAGTCATTGCGAAGGTTTGTTCAACTTTCAAGGTGGTGCGCAATACGATTCGAAACCATCGCCTTATTTGTTTTCCTAGTTTTAATTGAAATTTTTTAATTCGTTGACTTGTTTTGTAAATAATTACTTTTCTTTTAAATTGATTTCGATGGATTTATGTTTTGGCGATTAAAATTTCACCATGTCATAGTATCATCATATTGATCATGCATTTGTTCAATTTTATAGCAATAATAATTTTCAATATTTTACTACCGTAATAATTAAGATTAATATTCTTTAAAATAAATCAATACAATATTACACAACACATTTTGTTAGTAAAATTTGTTTATTATTTAGTCTTAATATTTTTATATGATTTTTTACAGAGGTTCAAGAAAAAAATCATGCTGCGCTTGAAAAAAGGCTTTTCGGAGCACTTACTTCAAGTGGCACTGCTGTTATCGCTTATCGGTTCCGACCGTTTGGGGCCTACGTTTGGTATTTGGTCTTCGGTTCCGTCAGCCGAAGTTGAAGTTGGCCCTTTACAACATTGGAACACAGATGGCTATTCACAGGCATTCGGGCCATTTTCTGAGATCCATCCTAAAAGCGTCGAACGAGATTTAGACCGGCAATGGTTACTCAGCGAATTGCTCTCTCTAGGTCGTTATAGTGAAAGATATCCATCAAATATCGAAGCCTATTTATTAAATGTAGATGGTAGCGACGGTAATGACAATCAGCAACCTGGAGGTCAGGGTGTTGTAAAAACTGAACCTAAGGAAGAAGATAGCGGCAACGGCGAAGACGATGATGACGCGGAGAATCCGTTTGACACAGATATAGTCCGTGACGTTTTTACTTTAGAGCCAGAGGTAAGATAAAATTATTTTTATAAAAATTGGTAATTTTTATTTTTTCAAAAACGTTGATTAAATTTTAGTTTGTTAATCTATACTGAAAAGTGTATACGTAGGGGATGATCGAGAATATAACTCTCTTTTTGTATAGTCTTTAAAAAAAAACCATAATTTTATTTATGACAAAGATCATGTTATCATCTCAATTTGCGTTTTCCGGAAAAAATTTCATTATACCTTTTTTTCTTTATTATAAATTTCAGGGTAATCTAGTGTATACACTCGTAAGTTTAGTAAAAAATTAAGCAAACTATTAAATTATGTATTTGGGTAATATTGTACAATAAAAAATGAACTTAAAATGAAATAATTGAGTAGCTTTATTTGAAAAAGACAGCAAATACATTATATAATATATTTGGTTGAATATTGTAATATAAACTAGTTAGTTTATCATCGAATAAAATTTCACATGAGAAAATACCACGTTGTTAATGATAATTAAAAATAATATAAATTATAAAAGTATTAACATTGCCGAACGACCTTGAAATAACTGATGAAAGTTGAGGTTGTAACATTGTTTTGCCAAAACATTTTTCTATAGAAATTGTTTTATGGATTGGTAAACTATACTTTATAAATTCCAAAATTAAAATGTTTAAGACAATTATGATTGTTATAGACGAGTTACGTGTCGGCTAAAAATAAAAAGATTTATTCAGTTTAGCTATAGTAGTGAGTGACGTCATCGATGTTGTCAGTTAATTATATTGCCTTTTATTAGAATAAATTGTTTAATAATGACCGTGTTAATCCTAAGCAAAGTTTTTGCAGTTTGTCTTATTATACATAATTGAAAAGATACTTTAATGTAATATTAAAATAATCGTGTATAGTCAAAATACTAGATGGAGGGTCATCGTTTTAAACTTTTCGTAAAAAAATGTACTCATACATTAACTTATTAAATACAAAAATTCTAAGTAGTGACTTAATGGGTACAGTGGATAGGTTACTAATCAGTATAAATCTATGAAAAATTACTAAATTTTTCATAGATAATTATTTTATTGGATCATAACTTCTTAAAAGTTAATCACTTGTGTTATTAGTTAGATCTTCTTTTAAAAACGCTAAATTTAACTTACTCATAATATATAGGGTGTTCTGTAAGTAAGGAAATGGGTTTCTATTGTTTTCATTGTTTATAGCAATTGACCTGTTTCCTTTCTTACTGAACCTTCTGTATATTGTAATTTATAGTATTTACACTAGTATTTTATTAACACACATGTTTTTGTCAACAGAATAATGGTTTTACTTTTATGTTTAAATTTAATATGTCTGTTTTAGTTTACAACTGTACGTGCTACTAAGTTTAAATTAAAAGTTATACTATTCCAATTTTAAAATAAATAATATATTGAAATTTAAATCTACGTTTACTCCAATATTGATTAGTACTAATTTGATGACAGTTTTTTGAATATACTTTTAAAAATACAATTATTCTTTAATTTTTTTTTTTATGTGGTAGTATCCAAACATATTACGTGTTTATTTTTTGTTGGTTTGTTTTATTAAACATTTTAAGTGGGAGATGCTTTGAGCGATATCTATTGACGTATTCTTAATATACTAGAGAGTTCGTGTTTTATAAACCAATAGGTTGCGCTATATTATATTAGAATAAAATCATAATACTTGAAATTAATTGTATGGATTTCGTAATTTAACAATAAACAAAAATACAAGTAAGTCGTATAATTTAAAAATGAACAAAAATATTATAACACAAATAAATTGGAATTGCGTTATCTATTATGGTTATCTTTAAATTTAAAATAAGATTTCACAAAATAACATGTGTTGTTAAAATGTATTTATAATCTCGAATTAAAAGGGATCAGTGAAAAAGAAACAAACTGTATGTGAACAAATGATGTTCATAAAAAAATAAATACATTATTGTCTATTTTATTTTATTTAAAATTTTAGTTTATCAACTTAAAATTTCAATTACTTTAATTGAAAATTTCAGATAAATTTGTGTTTTTTTTGTTAATATTGTGGAACATGAGGTTAAACTAGGCTGCCTGTTTTCTTTATATACAGTGGAAAATATCAAACGTTCTTAGAATATTTCATTAAAGTAGAATTTTTAAATAATGCTAAAAGTATCATTATGATCATTTAATTACACAGCACTTATAAAGTAATTATTTCTTTGCCATTTAATAAACGAGAAAACTTTGACTGGTTTAAAATATTAATTATGATTATTTTATAGTAGCAAGTACACTATACTATTAATTAACATGTATAAATAAATCTTATTATGTCTTATTCGGTTATTTATGAAATATTAGATTCAGTAGTCATTTAATGTAATCTTTTCATTTTAATAATAAAATAATTTAATAATTCATAGATGGCGTTTTTTCGCTAATGTATTATTTATCATTTGAAATCATTATATATCCACCACAATTTAATTAAAAATGAAATTATTTAAAAACTATCTCATCTTCACTTCGCAGCTAAAAATATAGACTTACTATCTATCATAATAGTTATTTTGAATTAGTATTATTAACTTTAGTTTTATTGCTAACACCATGTACCTTTTTTTTATGTGGAAGGCATTATTTTAACTAAATTACAATTGTAAAAAAAAATGATGGGTATACAAGAGTGTACCAAGGTTATAAAAAGGAAACTCTGTAATTGATCTTAAAATAATCGTAATCGTCCTTATTTTTGTTGTGAAAGTAAAATCATTAGTAAAGAAATATGTTTTATGATTTAATTATCCCAAATGAAAGATACACATGTAACTAAACATTTTAACATTATACTTTACTTGCTGGTTCTAATAAATTAATTATGTGTATACTGTACATTATGAACTTATATTGAATGTATTATGAAATTTTGGATTTAATGTTCTATATTTTTATGATTTTTAAATTCCATGGTTATTATTGTTTGCATCTGAGTTAATTATTTTATAGGTATGCCTTTATTTAGTGTCGTTAGGTTACATAATACCAATAATGTACGTTCTAATTTTCATTTTATCAGCTAAACGTGAATTTTAATTAGTTGAACAATATACTTGTTACTAAATTATTTCTATTTACGAATAAGTTGTAAGTATTATTTTATTTTTAAGTTGATGTTTTGTTATGTTTGTAAGATTTCGTGTCAACATTGCTAAGAAAAATGATTAACTAATATTTACAAGGGATTGGGGTTATGACCACCAGCGTCTTAGTGTCAGATTGTTGTTGTCATTAGCTAAGCCACAAGATAAACATGCAGTGTACGTAGCGGCGGGGGTTAGACCTCGTGCGTGTGACACATCCCGCATTATTTATATGATTTATTGATTTCGGATATTCTGTTAGGGAAGAATTCTTGCCGATTGTATAGATGAGCAGTCATTAGCGGCTTCGCTATGTAAAAAAACCCCGACAAATTGCCCACAGCACACGTTTATGGTTTCCCAAAATCATTTAGTGTTCTTTGGACGACCTACGTGTCCACTGTGTTAAGATCCCTAAAACGTACGACTTATAAAAGATAAACGCTGATTTTTATTCATGTATAGTACAGTTGTACGTAGAATACGTCTAAGCTATCACTTGTATGCATGTACTTCAATATCTCAGCAGGTCTTGTCGTAAGAGATTATTAATAACTTGTTGGCGTCCTACGTTCATTGTTCCGCGCTAGAGTTAATCTTATTTCTCTTGAAATTCGCAACAAAGGGTTAGGACGAGATAAAACGATTAGTGTTTTGTGAATCCTACAAATTTATTTTTGTAAACCTTTCCTATTTGTGTTGATGATCATACAAATTACTTGATTTAAAATTAGTACCAACGTAAAATTCATATAAAAATCACTCCGCGATTTTCTTTAGGATTATTAACATTTCATTAGAATTGAACAAGACAAAGTCATGATATAGTAGCCTTACTATAAACGTGCGTACAAGGATAGGGTGCGTTTACTATCCCTAACGGGTTTAGTTTTATTTAATTGGGCCGGTTATAATTGGTATTTATAATCGGGAATTTATTTAGAATTTAAGAGAGAAGTATCATATTTTATTATATAAAAATTTCAATTTGAGTTTAAAAGATGAGTATTTTTTTGGTAAATTCCTTGTAGTCTCTTAAATATCCAATGAAATATGCACCGTTAAGATGAGATTGTGAATTGGTAAACATTTTACCTACCTCCGACCTCAATCTCTTTGCACGCCTATGATCCTTAGTTCAAGTTCCACTCTAAAAATATTCTATTTATTATGATTGAGTTTAGTGTGTTTAGTCCTTAACGGACAGGAATGTCCGGTGGATGTGCCATCCTTTCTAGTCAATATTTAATCGTTTCAGTTAGTAATTTTTTTAATGTACTGGATTGTGAAAAAAAAACTTAAAGTAAAGTTCATATGAATAAAAATAATTTTTTCACCCTCTTATATCTTTTGGTTTGGGATTGTTTTGTTGACGGGATTATAAGTACAAAATAAAATATTTAAAAAAAATCGAGTCTAAAAAATAAATTGAAGTTTTTGCTTTGAAAAAATGTCTTTGCTTTTCTCGTTTCAAAAATATTTATTTATCATTTTTACTAAGAAAAAATCGTCTTTGTTTTATTTTAGAGGTTGTAGCACTCTAACCCCTTCAGTTTCCCAATATATGTATAAATATAAACTTAAATGTTATTAAATTTATGTATAAGTTAATAACATTTTTGAATGTTTGTTGATTAATATATTTAAATTTATGAGAAATATTCAGTCATGTTTATAAAATAACTTTATTGATTTAGACCTGTATTTTCAAGATTTTTAAGTGTAATTATCAAACTCTTTTGTTATTAACTCAACTTAACTGCGTTGTGTCCCTATACACAGAATGATCTATTAAGGTAAAGACATTCAATTTCTCAGAAATTATTGAAAAATTTTAATTTTTGTAAAGATAAAATATACTTGG